AGTTGGAGATCTCCTGAAAGGAGGACTGACTGACTGCAAGGAACATGACAACCCAACCAGCAGGAAGCAGCTAAGAGAACTGCACCCCCTCTCCTACTAATCCTTTTTCTCTCCTACCCGGTGTTGAGGTATTGGAAGGGATTGGGGTGAAGTAGGGAGAAAAAGATAAAACAAATGTAAATTAAAGAGTTTTTTGAAAAGTAAGCCAACAGATAGGTAAGCAGGTAGGCAGACAGAGGGGATCTACTACAGGAATTGGTTCGTGCAATTATGGAGGCTGTCCTGCAATAGTCCATGTACAATCTAGGGAAGCTGGGAGTGTGGCTCACTAATACAGCGGCTCCAGAATCTATCCTGAGAAACTGGTGACAAAAGGATGCAAGTCCTTGAATTCCAAGGTCAGGATAAAAGGGGTGGTCTAGCTATGGAAAACAGCATTTCTTTTTCCTTTGCCTTTATTATTCTAGTTAGGTCCCAGACAACTGGAAACTGCTCACCCACATCATATAGAGATCATCCTTCATCTGCTAAGTTCAAAGGTCTTTGGGAAACGCTCTGATGGACACACACAGAAATAATGCCGTTCCATCTACTGAAAATGAATCATTACAGTAAGTGATTGACTCTAAGGATGAGATTGTTTGCTTGTGGGGGGGCTGAGACAGGGTTTTTCTGTGTTGCCTTGGGTGTCCTGGACTCACTTTGTAGACTCCCTGTGATCTGCCTGCCTCTGCCTCCCAGAGCAATGGGATCTCAGGCGTTGGCCACCATGCCCAGCTGTAGATTGTATGCATCTTCAAAAGTAAAATATGTTTTAATTGATGGCCCTATTTTCTGTGGGGCAGTTGCTGCAGCTATGTTTCTAGCATGAGGGAAGGTTCCCTTTACTCTGGTCTAGGAATTGGTCTACTATTTTATTGAGTATTACTTGTCAAACATTATTAGTTACCATACTGGTAGAGAATTGGGGGGGGGGTGTTAAAAATAATCAAGGCCAGCAGGGTGTGGTGGTGCATGCCTTTAATCCCAGCACTCAGGGAGGCAGAAGTGGGCAGATTGCTACAAAGCAAGTCCAGGACAGCCAAGGCTACACGGAGAAACCCTGTCTCAACAAAACAAAACAAAAATCAAGGCCTAATCTTTAGATCCAAATATCTTGGAATTCAGTTGGAGGAACAGTTGTGCCTGCATTAAGAATTTGTGTTCATATGAAGCCAATGGAGAACATAGCTTTATTATGTTTCGAGTGGATAGAAAGGACTTTATTTAGTATTGGAGAGGTTCAACATTTATAGAGCAACTCAATGGTTCAAAGTATTATAGGGACCACTAGAACTGTGACAGAAAAGAAGAAAGGTTCTTTACTTTAAGTTGGTGCTCTGTGGATTTCTTTTGTTTTTTGTTTTTGTTTTTATTTTTGTTTTGAGACAGGATTTCTCAGTGTAGCCTTGGCTATCCTGGACTTGGGTTTGTAAACTAGATTGGCTTCAAACTCACAGTGATCCACCTGCCTCTGCCTCCCAGAGTGCTGGGTTAAAGGCATGTGCCACCACGCCCAGTGTATATGGATTTCTTATGAAGCAAAGTAGATGGTGAATTTGAATCCTGGGTCTGCAAATTAGTATCAAATGTGAACCTAGATAAATTAACTTACCTTCTATAGCTGGTCTTTTTCTCATTCATGAAAAAGAAAACAAAATTTCATTTATTTCATATGTGAATTGAATACACAGGAACATGCAAAAAGAATTAATTCTTGGCATAAAATGGGTCATCAATAATGGTACATAGTTAAAATTGTTTTTTATGTTTTCCCAGAGATATAAAACCCAGAGAAACATTTGACAAACAAGGCAATAACACACAAATGGTAATGAACCAGTGAGTACCATAGGAGACCTTAATGTTTGGGGGCACTAAAGATAAACAAAGTCTAAGTAAATCCCAAACACTTTCTAATTACTTCAAAACTTAGTCTCAGGTAAGTGTCCGAAGTATCCCAGGCTGTGAGTCAATTTCTGGGAATTCAGTACTTAAGACCCAAAGGTAAACAAGAGATTGGACAATAGCTGCAAGAGAAAAGGCAGTTTTAATGGAGGGGCCTGCTTTATACTTAAGGGATTACAAATTCTCCTTGACAGTTGTGGTGGGAGTGGCTCTCTTGCAGAATTCCAAGGGAAATGGCCTTTGGATAATCTTGCTTGCCTTTGGAGTAAGCCACCTCAAGCATAGTTTTAGATGATTCTTTCCCAATTTTTATTTTTCCCAGATGTCTCATGTCTAAAACCTTACTAGTTTTATTTATTTAGTTTATAAAGTTTAGCTTAGTTTAGGAATTTTTTTTTTTTTTGGGAAATTTCACATCATGAACTCTGCTCATATTTTCCAGTCCTCCCAGTTTTATCTCCTCCTTGTGACTTCTGAAGAAGAGGAGGAGAAGGAGGAGGAAGTGGAAGAAATCGAAGAAGAAGAAGAAGAAGAAGAAGAAGAAGAAGAAGAAGAAGAAGAAGAAGAAGAAGACGAAGAGTAGTTCAATTTGTGTTGTTCATATCCTCACTGAATTACAGTAATTCTTTCTATGTCCTATGTGAAAGGCAAATAACCTTGCTGTTGGTTAAAGTCCAACAATATGCTGCTCAACTCCCATTCTCCTCGTCACTATATACTGTGGCTGTTGCCTGCTTAACACAAGCCATAAATCTCACTGCCTTGCTTGGGTTGTATCAAGTTTCTAGACTTGTTTGCAAATTTCTTCAGGGAATGAATCATGTTGAAATACTTTGTAGAGCCAAGCCATAAATCCCAGTACTTAGGAGGCTGAGGCAGGCCTCCTAAGTGAGTTCCAGGATAGTCAGGGCTACACAGAGAAGTCCTGTCTCAAACAAACAAACAAACAAACAAACAAAAACATACTTTTTTTTTTTCAAGACAGGGTTTGGACCCATAGCAAGGCCCACTCCTGGATCATTTCATACCTTGCATACCAGATCCCTGGTAATGATAGATTTAATAGAATAAAGCTCTTTTCAGACTCTTCTAAAATAAATCCACCTTTAAAAATTTTTAAATTACGTTTTATTTACTTACATGTTTTTGTGTGTATGTACAGGTGCATATGTATGGAGGTCAGAGGGCAACCTAAAAGAGGAGGCTCCCTCTTCCCACCATGTGGAGTCTGGAGTTCACCTTTACTCATTGAGCTCTCTTACCAGTCCATTCATGGGTTCTGATCTGTGATGTTGTTATTTGACACAGAATTGTATGTAGCTCAGGCTGGCCTCCAACTCACTATATAGCTGAGGCTGTACCGGCAGCTCTCAGGCTGGAATTGCAGGTCTGCTTGACAGCTGAAATTATAATCTAGACAACTACACTCCCACTTTTCTGATTTAAAACTTCTTATATTGTTTTTGTGAGCTTAGTGTTCAGTGGGGCTAATGAAAAGTTTGACACTGAAAGAGAAAAGTAATTTTTAATTTCCTCTGGGAACTTATTTTGAGGTGTATTCAATGTAAACAGAAAGAATTGCTGGAGAATTCATTATAGCTTTTAAATTGGAATGACTGGGGGGAAAAAAGGTAGGATTCAGGTTGTCACAGAGGGTTTAAATCAGGCCTCTTCCTAACCCAGAAGCGGTAGGGGAGTTCTCTGTGGTTCCAGGTACAGAATCTGCCATTCTGTTCACTAGGAACTGACTATGCAACAGCTTGGGCATTTGATGGGACCAAAACAGACAAGACAAAACAAAACAAAAATCTGCCTCCTTTTGGACAAAAGGTTATTTAAGCCTAATTTAATTAAAAAGCAGAAGCTATTTTTTGTGTCAGAGGACAACTTTGTGGAACTGGTTCTTTCTTTACATGGTTCCAGGGATCCAAACTGGCTTGCTAGGCTTCCTTGACAAGTACATATGTCACTAGCTATTTTTACATTTTGAGCAAGGAAAACAGGGATACTGAATATAAAGGAAAACTTGAGTAAGCTAGTTTATCAGAATTGTGGTTATGACTCTGGATATGAAATGGAGTCGTTATTTTTTTTTTTTTTTTTTTTTTTTTTTTTTTTTTTTTTTATTCTCTGGGAAAGACCTGCGTTTGCCTCAAGTTAATGATCAGGTGACTATTATTTCCATTATTCTGGTCTCTTAACAGGTAGAGGGTAGTTGGAGATGGGACCTAAGGAAACTTTGGAGATGGTCCAAAGTCAAAATGCAATTTGCACAAATCTTCTAGGAAGTTTCTAAGACGACTGAGCTTCCAAATGGATGTACTTCGCAGTATATTAAACTGCCTGAGACCAGAGTAAGATGCTGACGACTCTCCAGCTAACATTGATCAAGTAAATCAATGTGAATAAGGATTTACCAACGGTGGAAATATTCCGACATTTTCATAAAGTGATGCAAAACCCATTATTTCAGAGTTAAGAAAACAATGAAATACACTGAAAACACCCGAAAGGACGTCACTTAACGTTTAAAAATGACAAGAGCCTACTTCCTTTTCCTTTTCCACTACTAATGAATGATGCAATGAAAAGAACCGTTCCTGATTTAAAAAAAAAAAAAAAAGAAAAGAAAAAAGATGGAACTGGGCTTTATGGCCGAGGCTGTAGCAAGGCAACGTGGCGAACTAAGACCGAACTGGGCTACAGGGTGAAAGTTTGTTTCAAAAAAACAAAACAACGAAACCCAAAACAAAAGGATGGGTGAAAAGAACGTAAAGTAGTCCAAGAGAGGTCAGAGAAAGGGAAACACAGAAGAGGTCGCACATTTGCCAAACCGTAATCCCGTCCTTTGGGTAAGGGCGTGGCTAAATTCCCCACAGGTTCAAGTTTCCTCGCCCCGCCCCGCCCCCGCCCCCGGCCCCGCCCCACCCCCGCCCAGCCCCTGCCCCCGGCCCCGCCCCGCCCTGGTAGTCCAGCTCCGGAGGTAGGGTGAGGAGGGGGGCTAGCAAAGCGGAACTTCCGGAGTTTGAAAAAACTTCCGGCGGGAACCGGAAGATTCTGCAGCAGAGCCCCTGTCTCCTGATTCCCCAGGCCGGAAGGTGAGCTTTGCGTCTGCCCTGGCGGCAGTGGTTCGGGCTGTCCCGAGTTGGCGTTCGACCCCGGTGTTTTGGGGGATCACTTAACGTTGAGTGTTCGTTTGTGAAAGAATAGTTTTTAAAATGAAGTTTCACCACATTTTGGTATCAGCTGTCTATCACACAGTCTACACCTGGAAAATCTTCACTGGCGCGTCCTTTGTATGCACCAGCTGTTAGCGCTTGGTAGGCGTGAGAAAATGGGGCGAGCCTTGTTGAACTTTATTTTTTTTGACCATAGAGTCTGAGGTGAGGGAGGAAGCACTTGCTTCTCCAGAAGTGCTCCGGCACATAGGAGGCACTCGGACAGCTGAGGAAAAGGATGAATGAGAACGCTAAGCAGTTTCCCACACGGCAGCTTGTCGTTAATATATGTGCAGTGAGAAACGGGGATAGTCTCGGTACTTGTGGCCCTGAGTTCTAGGACTTTTGTCTTGTACCTCTACCGTTTGAGTAAAGCACTTCATCCCATTGAGTCTCGGGAGTCTCAGGATTCTCATTCATAAGAGCACACAAGGATTTCTCAGAGTGACGGCAGCCACTCTCCTGCTAGGGAGGGCTTTCTTTTTTGTTGTAATCATGTGAGGATCTCTGCTGACATTTGAAGCACTTTTGTTGGTCCCCTTAGGGAAACAGATGCCTTTTAAGTTGGTTTTTTGAACGGTGGTTCTCAACCTGTGGGTCGCGACCCCTTTGGGGGTTGACTAATCCTTTCAAAGGGGTTAAATATCAGATATCCTGCCTATCAGGTATTTACGATTCACAACAGTAGCAAAATTAGAGTTATAAAGTAGCAACGAAAATAACTGTATGGTTGGGGTTCACCACAACACGAGGAACTGTATTAAAGAGACTCAGCATTTGGAAGGTTGGGAACCACTGGGCTAGAAGGTTTCCCCTTTTAAAATACTGGTGTGAGTGTGTGTGAGTGAATGTTCTTTTCTTCCTGGTTTCTCGTGCCTCCTGTGTCACCGCAGCAACTCTTAATTTGAAATGTGCTCATCCCCACAGAGATAAAATAACTCAGAAGAGAGAATATTCCCAGTCACTAAAGAATAGGAGCGGCCTATGTACCGGCACCTTTTCCAGATAGCAGTCAGTGTTATCCATGGCACTGCCTAACAGTGATCGAAAATGCATTTATTTTCATGGAGACCATATTTTTCTTTTCTCTTTCTTTCTTTCTTTCTTTCTTTCTTTCTTTCTTTCTTTCTTTCT